AGTACGTCCTTGAGAATCTGAGTTTTAAACAAATACTCCTGGTGATTCTCATATACCCCGAATTGCTCTGGAAAATACATCGGGGTCTTTTTGCGTGTCGATCACTCAGCAGGCAAGGTTGTCGTCTGACACCGCGAGGCTCCCAAGGATGAGAGGGCCTTAGAAGCAGGGCTCGGGTTCTTGATTAAGGAAAATCCCTTATTTATATCTCATGTCAGGCCCGCTTCATACTACAGTAACCAAATAAAATTTGGTGTTAGTCTAATCTGATTCCTTGACCTGGCACTTTAAATTTCCCCCACACGAGAACGAAATTGGGATAAGCTGTATTAATTTTGACTTCTAGATCCTCTCCTTATTTTTTTAAAAAAATTTCTGTGCTCAAACACATCAGAAAGCAATGAAATAACGAAGAGACTGCGTGAAATACGATGATAAACTGAACTGTAGTACTAGGTGGATGATGACCTACAAGGCGAAAACTTTTAGATTTCCAATTATTTCTTCAATTTCTGAGAGGTAGAACCTTTGCCAGGACACAAACTGTCGATCGTGGCAGGGCATGCAAGCCGAAGCCAAAACCATCAGCGAGCGCTGTGCATTGGCTGGGGAGGGGTCCCTTCTGTGTTTGCTCCACCTGAAGCCCACCTCGCCTTGCGGTCCAGCTCGCCATACACTTTAATGGCATTCGACAGGAATATCGCTTCTACGATCTCAAAGAAAAATGATTTCTAGATGTGTGTGGAATGATTTCTCAACACAGAACACTGCCTATGTTTATGTCCTTGCGTATTTTTTTGTTTGTTTGTTTGTTTTTGTTTTTCTTTTCCTAAACAGGACTTTTTGGAAATAAAATATCTTAATGAAGATGTAAACATGTATATTCTCAGTGGCGATTCTGCTTAAGGGTGGTTCTTTACAACTATCAAAGAAACGGCCTTTTAAAAATGTGAGCTTCGTTAAAGGAAGGTGTTACCTGTTTGGTAGCAAGTGTGAGACAGGTAAACAGAGGACAGACTGAGAGGGAGTGACTTTGACTTTGCATTATAAACTCTGACGTGAAGGGACCTGGTCTCCCAGGTCTAGGTGTGGTCAGCCAGTCCCCGGGGACGGGGCGCCTGGCCCACCACGTGCGGCCCCAGACCGCAGGGCTCCGAAGTGACCTGAGCGTTCTGATGGTCGACCCCAGGGGCACAGTAAGAGCGACCTCGTGCAGCCCTGTCATAGGAGTTATCTGGACTCCGCTGTACTAGAAACGCCATTGACCGTCTTGGTTCGATGCTAGAAACGCACAACTGTCTTCTTGGACTCTGTTCACGCATAACCCATGTGCTTTTGGAAACCAAACGCTCGGTCCGTCTGAAAACATTTTTTTGGAAGTGTAGTTGAGTTCTGAGGAACATAATAAGTAATCCTGGAAATATTTTTGTCCCTGTCGACATTTCCTTCACTTTTGACTGAATTGTTTCTACTGATTCATTTTATCTTCCCAAGGGAAGAGGGGAAAAATTACGTAAGGGAATATCTCCTTTTCACAAATTTGTCACTTCCGCTAACCCACGTACACTTCTCTACAGAATGTGAATGTGTAATAACTATTCAAACACTGAAAATATTTCTAATATGGCTATGATTAGTACTAAAATAAGATACAAACTTAGCCATTCTTATGATTTCTTGGAGCATCCTTAATGCCTTATGAAACATGTATTTCTTAAATTAGAATCCAGAAATCAAGTAGAGGACCCCTCGGCTTTGCAGAGAGATACAGGAATTGAGAAAACTATGGCCAGTTCTCCAAAGGAACTGCGCGAAACCCTCCCTGCACTCACCGCCCCCCCAACAGGGCCATCTCCTGAGGTGTCGCCTCTCCCTGAGCCAGGGGAGCTCGGGACCCGGTATCTAGGATCCTGCCGAACCACCTTAAGTGATGGAAATATTTTTTCCTCATACAATTTTCCTTATCGACACCCAGATATTAAGGGGGGTGCGGGAGGGCTAAAGCAGCAGATATATTAACAAGAAAAAGAGATAATACCATTATTCTTTTTTCCTTATTTCGCACACACACAGATAGTTACGATGTGTTCTAGTTCTCTATACAGGGATCCTTAAACGGTGAGAGCAAAGTCAGTAAAATTCATGGTAGGAATCGAATAAAAAACAGACAAACGGAAAACTTACACTCTCTGGTATCGTTGGGAGTCCGGACACATCCGGGGCGATGAAGCAGGAGTGCTGAGCGACAGAAATAAGTCACGTAAGGAAAGGGGATCCATGTGACGGCCTCACACAAGACGCGCGATGAAGACGAGAAGCAGCACGTGGGGACCGTGTTAGCAAATGCCGGGGGCGGATGCGCAGGATTTGTCGAATTTGAGATTTTTTTTTTTAATGAGATGGCAGATTTATATGAGATGTAACAATAACCCTTCCAGACAAAGCATTAAGTGGTTAAACATATTTCATTTCACAATTGAAATTAAAGTCCTAGAAAAAGTTTTAAGACAAAAAAGGACGTTACAGCCATCTGCCTGTCTATCTATCTATCTAGGGACACACATACATAAAAATATATAAATGTATAGATTTATTTTTATAGATATTTATATTTTAAAAAAAACAGTTAGAGACTGGAAAAATAAGGCTTGCTTACTCAAGATTATATCAAAATTTATTAGGATTCCTGACTTTCTACGGCAAGTGACAAGCAATTTCTCTCGGACACGTCAGCCACTGTATCATTCAGAAAGCAGCAATAGAACATGATTTTTAACTATTTAGAATTTCTTAAAAATGTAACTACTCTTCTCAAATATGATCTTCATACACCCACGAAACCAATGTTAATCAGCTCTGATAATATTCCCAGATATTCTGATAATACAGAGGTTCCTGGAGATATTGGCATAAAAAGTTTACTGTGCATGCCAGCACGCTTTTCATAATGCTCCCAAATATTACCACCCACGATCAGAGCACAGCCACATCACCAAAATTGTTTTATTTTCTGTTCATATTAATTTCCAAAATTATTTCACTGCCTTAATCACACAAAGACATAATTTAATACTGTCTTATAATTGAAGGTTAGAAAAGAAACTGCATTTGAGCCACTATTAAACATAGCCGAACGAGTCAGAACAAGGCTGGTTAACACAGTCATAACGTGGAATTTTTCCAGGGTACAAGAACAATATGAGATAAATCACAAGGTCTCAGGAGACCTAGTGACTAAAAAAAAAAAAAAAAGTGACAGCAGCGTCATGCACTTCACCGTCAGCCCTGCTAAGAATGGAGACTATGTGGAGTAGATTTGGTCTCTATTAGCGACTTCATTTTAAGGGCTTTTAATAGCACAGTATTTAATAAAACTAGGCTTTAAAAAATAGTATAAACAGAAAATACACTCCCAATGATTAATTTTCTTAAAAGAGACAAATTTGCTATTTCCCAAAGGACTGGAGAGAGTCTTACAGACACAGTGAAAAAAGTGATTATTTTCCCAATTTAACAGTGATTTTTAGAAGCCAACGCCCTTTTAACTCACCGATGCTAGGAAGGGCTGATCTTTCAAAACTTGTTCACTGGCAATAAATATCTCTTGGTTCTTACAACACATGAGAGAAAAAACGGATATTTTACTTTCACGGGGGAAGTTTACACCACAATTCGCTGTGTGTTTGAGACAAACCCACATAGCTACATTCTTCACTGAAAATACTTGAATAACATTAATTATGAATGTTATTTTAAATGTTGATCTGATAGTTTTAGGTTAGAAAAAGCTCAAAGTATTTTCATTCCTGACTGAGAGCACCAGATGCTGTGGGTATTCAAAGATTTTGAAATACAGTTTCAAACTAATCATTTATAGTGGATATTGATTTTTCGCAAAATCTCCGTGATAAGTCTACTGGCTATAACATCTAGTCTTGAAAAACCCATGTGCCAGGACATTCGTGAAATAAGAAATTGTAAGAAAATCACAGTGGTTTCTCAAGGCTTGTCACATTTTTTCTAATTCTAATTCTGCAAACGAACAAAATAAATTTCATTCCACTTGAGGAGAAACAAAATTCCTAATTCACAAAGCTAAAACCTCCACCAGTAATTGAAGATAAGTGTTTTAATCCCAACTTTGCCACTCTTAACAGCATAATGCCAGGCTCATTATTTTAGTAATCTGTCCTTAAAATGTAATGAAATTACAAAATGGACTTTACACAAAGTGAAGGCAATGTTTATCGACAACTGAATTCACCATCGCTTCAGATATTATATTGAGAATATAAATATGAAAGATAGCAGTGAATACAGATTCGAAAGCTTACAATTTAAATATAACTTCATACATAGAAACAGAACATAGTCACTCAAATTCCTTTAACAAGCTTATTTCAACTGCAATAAAAATATCTTCTCCATATAAAATGAAACTTCGATTCACTAACAACTAACATGGAGTCGCTTTCCATGGTATCTCTAGATATATCATTTCATGTAATTCCTCCGACAACTTTCTCAAAAATCGACCCTCGTGACTTCTTCGGTGGAGAAAAGGGATCTTAAAAGGAGATTTACTCTTTGCCTAACTTCACATACTAAATGACCGTGAGTTAAAATACTCTAGTCGTAGGTACTAAGGGGCCTAAAAGTCTTCAATTTATGGTTATTATTGATAAACGGGAAGCGTTTCAATATCCGGTATTCTTGAAATGTATTTTTGTTAACACATGGATTCCTGAACAAATATGATACTCAAATTTAAAGAATATTACTCTTGGACTTCTCCTTAACACCCTACAATAGCTCTGTTATCTTAGCACCTGTATCTCTTTAACCCTTTAAGGCACTGTTAGAATCACCTGTACATACCACTCTTTCGAAGAAAGATTCTTATTTTCGAAACATTCGGAGCTTTGCTTCGTCCTCCCTGACGTTTTTCCCTGGCATTTCTACTTCATTCTCACTCACCGTAACCCTCGTGTTCCTTTGGCTTCACTAACTGACAAATCTAAGTTTCTTCTTAACCGTTTCTTCCCTGATTCTTTCGCTCAATCTGCTTCTTTCTTCCATACAGCGTATTTGGGCCTCGGCCTCTCCTCTGTCCTCTCTATAGTCCGCCCTGTAAGTAGCTCAATTATACCCGCAACCTTGTCTGCAGATGACTTCGGAATTTGGGTTAAAAATTTCCAGGTTATCCTTAGCTTTCCTGTCCCCGAGATCCAAATGACAACATGTGTCTGCTGCAGCCGTGTGCAAAGAGAGGATCCAGGCGTAAAGGAGCAGAAGTCACAGGAATAAGGGACATTTTAAACTGTGAACACGAGAGAAAGTTTCACAGAGGTGGGAACTGAGCTAGTTCTAGACTAAGGACGGCTAGTCTACAAAGAGGCTATTTTTAAAAAAGGGAGGTATGTCAGTCTGATATTCGTTCGAGATGAACAAAACCGTGGGACCGCAGCGGAGAATCCGTTTAGGGGAAAAAGTGAGACCAAAAAAAAAAATAATAAGAAGTTGAATCGAGGCTGAGAAGTAGATGGTCCTGAAAACCTGGCCAAAAACTTGGACAAATTCTATAGAAAACGGAGCTAGTAAAGGTTTTCAGCGGAGAACTTTACAGTTTCAGGAAGTTTAACCTGACAGCCTTCTGGAGAAAGTACTGGAAGGAGACTGGGCAGTTTGAAACGCTGAGGACCTGAACTAGGATGCTGGCAGGGCAACGCAGAGAACAGAATACTGCGAGCCAACGCCATTCTTAAACAAAATCGCGGGGAAAATTTAGCAGAGAATGTTATTATCGAGAGAAAAAACGTAATAAGGCTAACGGTTTCCTTATCTTGAAAAAAAAAAAGCAAAAGATTTATTATATACATTTCAAGTTACTTTTTCTTTAAATTTCACTTGCATCGTTATATATTTTTCTTCCTTATTGGGACGGTTTACTATTATTCTGGAAGAACCAAAACCGATATAAATAAAGTTTAACACTCGATTTGGTATGCCAAATTAATGAAAAATACTAATGAAAACATCCGTATTTTGTGGTGATTAATTTTGAACTTTTACAAAACCTTCCAAAATACTAGTTTGTTTTTAGAAATAGACGCACAGTCCATTTAAAGCTTCAGTAGTCAACACTCTGCACCACTGCGGATTGACTGCTCTGACCAACTTCAACCATGTTTCCAACATTTGGTGATAATGCCAGAAGACGTATAAAGTATACAGAAAGAATAGGTTTTCACCTGGAATTTTTATCATATATAGTTAGTTATCTTTATATGCTGTATTTTCGATTCTTATCACATACTGTTCTCATTTTATGAGAGGTATTTTTTATGTGTTTTTTTTGGGGGGGAGGGAAGGTGCTTATGTGTATATGTGTATTTCCTTATGATGGATAGATTTCGCCTGAACATCACTGTTCCTCACAATCAAAATATTCTCACAGATTTGGTTAGTTTTAGCGTATAACAACAACAACAAAAATCTGTGCATTAACAACTGTCGAAGTACACATCCAACATATCACATTACGAGAGTTAAAGCATGTCAGACAGGCTGGGTGTTATGATCCTCAGTGTTATGTAACATCGGCTTCTGCATGGAGGTTTACCTGGGGACACGGGTGACTTGGCAGAGTTCCCTGGAGGTGCACGTGCTCTTCAATGAGAAACATCAATTACTGACGGAATACTTACCACACTCAAATTGACGGGAGTGTTGGCCTTTGGTACTGGGTGGTTGTAGAGTGTTTGGAGAGTTACATTCAAATCGTTTTCCTACAGTGAACAAAAACAAAAATTAAAAAAAAAAAAAAAACAGTAAATTTTATAAATGAAATCCGTATTAAGCAAATCGGATTAAAACTATTTGATAAAATCAGGCACTGTGCCTTTTCATTCCAGATGTGTTTTATAGAACTACTTTCCACAGGAATGTCTCGAATACCTAAAATTGAAATATTTACATCGAATAAATATAGAAAAGATATTCATATCTCTTGATCCAGAAAGAATAATAGCAATATTTATATTTAGTAGAAATAGGCATTTGCCGAAACTTAATTATCATAAAACACACTGATGCCGTGGAAAGAAATTATTTAAATAATTAAGTCCAAGAAGAACAATAGTATTGTGTCAAAACAGCACTGTGCTCTGCACCGGATCACCGAAAGCTTCCATCCTGCATTTTCATTTTAAAATCTCCAACCTAATGTTTAAGGAATAGATGCAGTCGAAGTGAGATTATTGTACTAAGATGCAACACAGAGGTAATTCTCAAGATTTTTTTCAGGAGCTACCGATCACTACTCGACCCACAATAAGAGGGATTAAATAAAATATAGCACACGCCTACTTCACAGGATTCGTCTAACAACAAAGTACCTTGATGTTACACACTCACTTTTTCTGAATCACACACACAAATCCAGTAATAAATATCTGAAGGTGGCTTTTTATATACATAGATATTTTTATTCTCTCTTAAAATGTTCAAGTTGGGAGAATAAACCAAAGGAAAGGCGATCGTTCAAGGAAGGTAATAACTAATTTTCAGGGATTTGGGTACGAGACGCGTGACTTCGTACAATTACTCTTGTAACTTGACTATCAAATCTCTATAAATGCTGGCAAAAGTGAGCACTCAAAACTGCCTATTTGAAATTCTCTTTAGAATGACCTAAAAAGAAAGACTATAAAGAATTTATCTCTCGATCATTTAAACAACAAACTATACCACAGAATATTCTGGACGGCATGGATGCTCTGTCCATAGAAAATTCCTATGGCTACGTGGATTTCGTAAAATTCTAGCTTTTAAAAATCCTTTGCACTTGCCCGATGTAGATCACATAAAGACAGCTTAAATTATAAAATCTCAATATCAATCTCAATGACCTGTGGCACTGGATTAAAAATGAAAAGTAAAAAAATAACAAAATCGCAGGTTAATTTTTGGTTTTCTAAGAATACTGAGTACTTATAATAATATTTCTGATAATAAGGAACACAAATGTAGTCTTCTTATTTCCTCTTCTCAGGAAATCGAAACTAGATGGATTTGCTCAAAGTATTTTCTTTTATATATTTCAGTATGACTGGTGGTCTCAGGAACATATAATAGGTACACGAGTACTAATTTATCAGAAAGCGTTTCTAAAGGTAAAAGTATTCAAAATTTGGACAATTCATACAATTAAGTTTGGTTCCACATGTACACTTACAAAAACAAAGAACAAGACATTATCATGAAATAGAATTCTGGTTTTGAGTTTTCCTTTAAACAACTAAATACTTTTATTTCCAGTTATTAGGAAAATGAACATATAACTTGAATATAAAATTGTTCAAGTGTAAAATGACTTTTTAATGAATACTTCACAGAATGAAGCACCTCAATTATAGTGAGGGAAATATGTACACTAGCGTGCACACAAACACTTAGACTTTTGACAAACACGAGAAGCTTGCTATGACATTATAATAATGAAATTTGATTGCCAAATTAGAAGGTTGCTCACTAGGAGAGTGAAAAGTAAGTCTTAATTTATTAATTATACGGTTAAATTCTCTTTAATAAAAAGTATCTGGAATAATATTTGTGCTGAATTTCGGTTTGTTTTTAAAGATGTTTACATCGAATCTTAAAAGATGAGCGTTCCACCCGTAATCACGAGGGGGTGACCCGTGATCTTGAAAGACAACTATGTAGAGTTACGTTCAGAGAAACTGAAGTAGCTCGGAATAATTGGGTGGCACATCATGTGTAGGAGAGTGGCAGCAGGTTATCCAGTAAAGAATATCGGAAGCCAGATCGCGAGGCTTCTTGTGTGTCCGGCTGCACACAAGTTTAGATTTTATTCTAAGGAGAAAAGGGGTCTATCGAGAGGGTGGTTCAGTAGAATGACATAATCGGGTTTGAGAAAGATCGTTCTCGAAGATGAGGATCTGATGGCACTTACAGCTCAGAGAGCGTATGAAATGCTTAGAAACAGTATCTAGAGAGGAGGGAAGAAAACTAAATATAACACAAGAACACCAAAATTCTAGGTGTAGAGAAAAACAGGTCAAAAAAAAGAGACTGAAGATACAGCTAAAAACAAAGAAAAAACAATGTCAGGACAACCCAAACAAGTACAACCTCAAGAGCGAGGGATCATCAAATGAGAATTTACGCAGATAACCAGAGAATGAAAAATATACTCGGAAAACCTGAAAGCAACAATAAGCGATCATTAAAGATTAAAAAAAAAATCTTTAATTTGAGTAAAATGACATTAAATAGCATAGCTAATATTCTAGTAAATTAGTCCTTGTTAAAACATCAAAGAATGATTAAAGGGAAAAATTACGAATTATCATCCCGGAGAAGTTCATTAATTCAAAAGCAAACTACAGTTTTTGTTTGTTTTAATTTGAAGAAAGAAAAGCATAAAGACATAAAAAAATGTGAGAGCTAAAACCCTAAAATTCTTAGAAGAAAACATATGGGAAGGCTTCATCACATTGGATTTGGAAATTAATTTTTGACATCACACTAAAAGCACAAGCAATAAAAGAAAAAATACATAAACTGGACTTCTTCAACATTAAAAACTTCTGTGCATCAAAGAACACTACCATCGAAGCAGAAAGACAACCCACGAATAGGAGAAAATATTTGCAAATCGTACATTGGATAAGGGATTAGTACCTGAATATATAAAGAATTCTTCTTCAACACAACAAAACACAATTTAAAAAAACAGGCAAAGGACTTGAATGGATATTTCGTCCAAGAAGATATACAAATAACCGACAAGCACACAGAAAGACTCTACATCATTAATCATTAGGGAAACGCAAATCAAAACCACAATCATATACCACTTCGCACCCATTGGGATGGTTGTTATCAAAACAAAGCAAAAACAGAAAATAATGAGAGTTGGGGAGGATGCGGGGAAAATGAAACCCTGGGTGATGTTGGTGGGAATGTAAAATGATTCAACTCCCAGGCAACGTCTTGATGATTCTACGAAAGACTAAACATCGAATCATCACCTTATTCAACAATTCTACTTCTGAGTATATACTCAAAAGAACTGAAGGCAGGGACTCAGCCAGCTATTTCTCTGCCTACATTCGTAGCAGCATTGTTCACAGTAGCCAAAAGCTGGAAGCCACCCAGGTGTCCACCTGCTGGTGAACGAGTGAGCGAAATGTGGTGCGTACACGCAGTGGGATACAGTCATCACTGACAAGGCAGGAAATTCTGATGCGTGCTACACACTGGATGAACCTTGAAAACACGCGAAGATAAAATAGCCAGTCGCAGAAGGACAAACGTCATATGATTCTGTTCCTCCCAGGAACAGTCATACTCATCCAGAGAAAGGACAATGGCTGTTGTCCGGGACTCGGGGAGGGAAAATGGGGGGTTATTATTTGATGGGTGCAGTTTCAGTTTGGGAAGATGAGAAAGGTCTAGAGGTAAGAGGGTCGATGGCTGCAGAACAATGTGACTGTACTTACCGACTCAGAACTGTGCGCGCAAATATGGTTTACATGGCGAGTTTTACGTAACGTGTATTTTAGCACAATAAAAAAAATGATGGAAAAAACATAGCTTACCAGTTCCTTAGTCAAGTAATCTGCTAGCGTATTCAGAAGCTTGTAATATACCTCAAACCATGGCAGGTAACTGTAAAAAAATAATAATAACTTAAATATAAACACACACATATATAATTTAGATCCAAAAAGCACAATGATGAAATAAACAAATTGATGCTATTTCCAACAGCTTGATCCTGGAAGGCAGAAAAGAATTATATCTGTGTTCTCTTTATTGTTAACAGTAAAACTTTACATACTATCTATTATTAGTTTTCATGACATAGTCAGAATCCAAACTTGTATTATAAAGGTTATTTCTTACACACTTCTATTTTATGTTGGCAGTATCTAAAATTCCTTAGTCCTGTTACAGGATATGTAGGGTATGAACGCATCAGAAGCTAATTTATACAGAACACACTTCTATTTTATGTTGGCAGTATCTAAAATTTCTTAGTCCTGTTACAGGGTATGAACGCATCAGAAGCTAATTTATACAGTTAAGTGTCATTTATCTGTCAGATTAGGTACTTGTTTTTGAAAATAAACAAACTTACTAATTAACTAACTGCTAAACACTTACTTTTGCAAATGTTGAAGAATACTTTCCAAAATTAAACGGTTCTCCTTTGTGCTAGGGATTTTGGTTTCTGTGTCATTACGACTGTTTTTTATAACCTGCAAGAATGCGAGCTCTCCCTGCACTTCATGCTGGTACCAGGCTCTACACAGGATATGCTGCCACATCATCGTCTCATTATTAAATTCAACATTCGATTCTATTACGTTTAGAGCCGTGTTAGATGCTGACGTCCGCTGATGTGACATTATTTTTTTTAAAAAGACTATCACACCACGGTTTACGCTCATGAGGGTTTCCTCATGGCCGTATCTGAGGCTCCGTCTCGCTTTGCTGTTTCTATTCGGGCCGTAGGCGTTACTCGCCAGTTCTATGCCCGTCGAGAGAGTGGAGAGTCGAAGCTGAGAATCGGAGACTCTACGTGTCAAAATAATTGGAAGGATGGGGAATAAAACTTCTTAAGCAGCAACTTTACGTGTGAAAATGTGCTAGGAACTTTACACGTGGCATCTCGTTTAATTCTGATAATAGTGCTGAGATGTACATTTGACCAAACTAAGGTAAAAGAGCTTATCCGAAGTCCCCAAGCTACCAAATGACAAGCTTGGGATTAGAACGGAGCAAGATGACTGAGCAACATATGCCCAGGGTCTGCCGCAGATGCGCCCCCCGCCCCCAATGCAGTCATTTATTTCTAGAATACCTAGGCTTTGAATAAACGTGTCCAATGGCCAGGCGTCATTCAGGCAGCTGAACCGATGGTGACGAAATTCGTTCTGGTTTAATCTTACATCATCCTACTTGTAATTTCTTTCCGCCGAAGCAAATTCTATCTCCCCAAATTTGTTTAACTAATTAATGTCCAAAGCACTGTCTTTCTGCCTTTTAGATTATATTTTGTTCATGTGGGCAAATTTCTGTTGAATCTGATGCTTTTGTCTGCAGAGGTAATCCTTTGCAACTATAGGTTTTAGTACTGCTCCTGTGTTGATCACTGGGGATAAAAATTTTGCAAAGGAATGGCCTGCGACATGGTGCAAGATCCCTCCCGAAATAACATAAAGCTGTTTATCGACGACCTACGTCTGGTATTTTAGCCAATAAGAAGACGGCATTATCTACTCTCTAGGCACTTTTTCTCTCTATATAATTCGTTCATGAGAGAGAGTGGGGCAGACTCTTCCAAATTCCCACGGTGGCACCGCCCGAATCCAGAAGTCCTGGCACCACCGAGAACTGAGTTGGTCACACACACGTGGTCTCTGTGAACACGGGCCGCCTCTTGGTGATAACTCGCTCCTTTGTGAGAGGACCCATCATGCCATGCCATGTTTAAAATTAAAACGTCACCGACATCAAATTGTAACTGCTCTGTGACCTGGTCATGTCGAGGATGCGGGGACACTTCCTGTTGCAAACGATCAACAGAACAGAGAGCGGAGAGGCAAACGGCCACGTCACGCTGTATCCGGCCTACAGACATATTCTGTCTGGTCAACACCATTGCTGCCAACTTCTAAATCTCAGATCATTCACTTAAAAATTTGGGTTTTTTAAAAATCAAAAGAACTGGCAATACCGGTCACACATTTTCCACTTTGCAATAAATAGCTAGCTAGGGCTGTGTAATGGCTTCCTATCTTTGAACGTGGCGTGTGCTATTGGAATCACCAGACTCACCCGAACTTCCTACTGTCTGACACCTAACCTGCTTATCTCACTTGAGTTCCCGACCTGATCACTGTAGGTAATAGAATTAATTCACAACTACTCCACAGGAAGTCCTGCTTACCTTTTATATGACCAAAAAAAAAAAAAAAAATGGTCCAGGGCACACAAAGTAGCCAATAATTCAAATACTTTCACAAGATTCCACTGCAAACTTGAAAGAAAAAATGTGTGTTCAAAATAACATGCACACAAAAAAAATAGATTATAAATTACATAAGCTCACCTCACTCGGGTGAGAAATGCTATTCTCATGTTTTTATTTTTGTGCTTGCTTAAATAACTTTCAAACACTATATGTTCAGTGTCATTAATTTTTAATTAACAGATAAACTCAAACTGATTATCAATAAGCAAAAATATCTTTCACTAAATTTTATAGTCTCAAAGATAGTCAAAATCTGTTTCTTATAACCAAACGCGAAAATCCTATAAAGCTCAAAGAAATGTATTCAACATTTTATGTTGACGGAACAAGGCATTTTACTTGAATTTCATAAAACTGAAAACGTAATTTCTTTACCAAAAAATAACTGTGACTCTCATAGTTTTGTAAACATATAAATATAAAACAATACATTAGAACCCGTTATTTTCAAACGAAAGGCCGGAAAGTCTTCAAAGGTTAGTCGTTAAGATCATTTCCTCGACTTTTCATAAAGACATACGGCAAAAGACGGATGGATCTAGAAAGTTGTGAGTCCCTCTGAGACTTCCCCCACACTTATGTTTCCACTACAGAGCTGATCAAACTTTTACATTCAAAAGTCAAAGGTTAAATAAAGGAAAGGAAACGTTTTTTGTCAAACCGTCAGGTGACCACTAACAGTCGGAGCGAACAGCAGGAACCTAACTTAGAATAATCAAATGAAACGGAGGAAACTGCCTTTCCACAGCAAAGTGCCTAATGTCTAGGGGCTGTTTTTCTGTCTGGAAAATTGACACAAAATGTGTAAAATTGAAACATTCTGCTTCTCAGGGATTTGCCCAAAGGAAGAGGGTGAGAGCTTCAAGTGTGGTATGAGTTAACGGCGGCCGGGGAGCAGAGTGGGGGGGACTACAAAGGCCCTAATATCACTCTGTCTTCCTTGTTAGGGTGTTCCGTTTTGAACGCTTGGTGACAATTTTATAGTCGTACAATGATGTTAATCAAATTAGGGGGAAAAAGTTATTTCTTGTATTTTTGCTAGCATATGAAAGCAATTCTAAATATAAACAATGGCAAGGTTTAAACTAGTCATCTCTTAGGATGTTTTTTGAAATCTCGTTCAACTAGGATCGATGTGTCCCAGAAACAGCTAAAGCATACAACAGTGGCTGAAAATCCGAAATTAAAAATCGACTTTTATATGAAATCAACCTAAATGCTCACGTTTCTTCTAAAAAGTGAACGAAACGGACAGAAATCAAATGTACGTACTTTAAAGTCTTATAAAAAAAGCATAAATCCAGGAGGAAAAGAACACCTGGTTTGTATAGGATCGTGTGCAAATTTTCTAGCTTAGAACTCCTAAGTAAATATAAATTACTTTCGAGCTTTATCATCACGTCATCCAGGAATGGAGAAAAAGCTTTATACACAAATGTTCTAGCTCAGAACTGGAGGGAAGCCAGTACTCTGTGTGTGTGTGTGTGTGTGTGTGTGTGTGTGTGTGTGTACGCTGAGAGGGGGAGGGGAGGGAGAGAGGGAAGCATGCTAGCAATTGTGGATCTAGGTGATGTGTATACAAGAGCTCACTCTACTATTCTTGAAACTTTTTGGTAAATTTGATTTTTTTTTTAATAAAAACACTTAAACATTCATAAAGGAATATTCGAAAGCACATCCTGCTTTGGTCTTTCTCTGAGTGCAAGGCTGTCTTGAGCAGAGTGCATAAGGTTAGACTTCTCTTTAAACGCCAGCTTTTGAACTTTCAGCATGAAACACAATAAAAGCAGCCCTCCCTGCCCGTCTCCCCCACTGCCCAGCCGACCGGCTTCAAATGAGAAGGATCAACCCACAGTTTGGAGCATAATTCTCTTCTGGATAAAACGCGTGCTTCAAATACAATTATTTATCCAGATGAAAAAGCTGCGTCTGAGAGCAGAATGGAGGCACATCCATTCCGTTATTTTATCCTAGTAGTAATAAAAGAGGTAAACATTTATTTTTTCATAGAGATTGAAAACCTGTCTCCAACTCCAACAAATGTTTTGAGTAAACGTACAGCTCAACCCTCCAGAGCGATACAAACGTAGCTAAACAGCGAATGGTCAGTGTAGACGTCAGTTCTACACCAACGTTTTCTCTGCGATACACTGCTTCTGAAACGTTTTTTTTCCTGTGAACGTTTCCAGAGAATCAAGCTTGACCGACATCATGTTTCAAATCACAGCACAGACTCGTTTTATGGAAGCTGGGTTTCTAATCCTTAGCGCCCTTCCTTCTCCAAGGCCAGCAACTCACATCTCGGGCGTACGAGCAGGAAGGACCCTCTTAACTAACGAGTCAGATGACACAAGGGATTGCGGTGGGACAGATGGGACTTGGTGACAAACTGGCAGACTCAGGACACAGCTAAAAGCCGCTGCTGCGTTCCAGCATCTCGCTGCTACTGGGAAGCGCAAGGACGTGAATGTTATGCGAGATTTCACTAAAATGCAAAAGGTTAGAAATAGCTTCTAAAACGTGTAAAACACCTCTAAACGCTTCTGCCCAGAATCGCCAGTTTGCAGCCTTTCAGCGGCAATTCAGAAATCTAAGTGCTGGGTCAGTGACAGGAAAGAGCATATGTTAATTTGAGTTATTTGTATCCTATTTAACACGCGAAGCGTATGGGATTTGAACTCCTATCTTAATATTTAAGTTATCAAAAGTAAACACAGAAAAACTAATCCTTAAAAAAGCCAATTCTTTCGGGAAGAATTCTAATGTTACTGGTAGAATCTTTCAACTTATTCGATAATGTATGTGGAAAGTAAATAAAATTATTTTTCGACTTCCTTGGATTTAGAGAAAACAAATAAGAAAAAAAATTATAAGCCTATACGTAAGCAGAGGAGCATAAATAAGTACAAAAGACAGTCTCCTGTGCAAACTTTTTTTTAAACTACAAATACTCACCTAAGGATGCACAAGCAGATTTTGCCTCCCGATGTGAGGCTGCAGAACCCAAAC